GCCTCTTTTTTCACACATTTCAGTTTTCCATCTAATTTACCCATTGTACACTGCGATCGCACAGGGTCTTTGGTGCTTCTTGGAAAAATATACCAGAATACGTGATCATTATATAATTTGCAGATTAAAACGAAAGGACAGGCTCATACAGACAAATGACATTTCTCGCCATGCCCAATTAGATCTACGTTCTGATTAGGAATATGGTATATTCTAGGGAGTGAAAGGCGAACTGCGATTGTGTTCTACTGAGTATTCAAAATTTCAATCAAACTTGCGATTTCCATGCCAGTTGAACGCGGCTGTTGTTGATTAAAAATACATAAAACAAAAAACACAATTAAATACAATTTTAGATTCGTTTAACTTTATGGGGCACAGAGTACAATAAACTTCGATTCAGCAGAGCGCAGTGTGTTGTCGCCTTAAAGTCAAGGTTTATTTTTTTTATTTGTTGACGTCTTGAGTTGATTTCCTTTTTGATATGTGGATTTCTTACAAACTTAATTTGCGCTCTGCCAGCGTGGGAATGTTCTACAATATTCCATTTCCTCTGGTCCTTTGTCCTGTGTGCTGTCCCTTGAACGAAGCTCGTTTTGTGTGTAAATTAAAGCCAGCTCTACAATTTAGGGGACATTGGCCATCTACCCGCTGTCAGGCAAAACTGCAGGCACTGTGGGTTGTCCCGGACAGGACACACGACTAAGCACACATACACTCTCTCTCACACACACACACACTTGTACACCACACACGCAGCCACATTCACACAGATATTCATCTATGTCGCACATCGTTAAGCGCTGCCAGTTTGACTTAATTTGCGTTAAACTTTTTTGTTAAACATATCATTCGGTTGGCAGGCCCAACAAACAGGAAGAAAAAAAATGAAGCAAAACACACACCAAGAAGCGATGCGGGAAACACAAACAAAGGCATTAATCATGCCAGCGTGGAGCGAAATACATATATATATATATCTATATATATATGTTAAATATATTATATACAAACATAGAGAAAAAGCGACACGCAGTGAGAGTGAGAGGGCGACAGAAGGGTACACTTAGCTGGCTAAAATTAAGCGAAATGGAGTCTTCAGAGGGTTTACTAAGCGTTTGTTTAGATTCTCACTGTGTCTGCGGTCATTATATCGGGTATTGGCAATAGCCTCATATGCCCCAGCTTAACAGCGAAAATCATCGTCATACATTGCACACTCATGTGTGTGTGTGTGCGTATGTGTGGGTGGGTGTGTGTAAGTGTGTTTTCATAAATGACAAACTGTTTTTGGTTAAACAGAGGCCCCAAAAAAAAATGAAACAACCCCGAAAAAACAGACAGACCCCAATGTACATATATACATATAGAACAAACGACAACCAAATTTGCATGCTAATAAACAATAGACACTCTTTCTCAAACAAACTATCTGAACTGTATAAAAAATAATAGAACGATTCCGCGGGCTCTTGTTCAAAGTACGTCAAAACGATGTGTTCTGAAATATATACAGGTCATAATTATACTCAAGCACGTCGCTTTCAGTCTTTCAGATATACCCTAGTTATACTCTATAGTATTGAAAATACGAAAAAGTGCACAAGCATGGCAGACAAAGCGGAAGGTGGGAAAGGCACGGGCTGGCGGCGGTAGGTGGTTTTGTGCTTTTTACAGAACCTTATTTATTTACCAAATGAAAACTTTTGGCCCGAAACTAGACCGCAATAACTGTAAGTGCTCAGCAAACAGAGTCCAAAATGCCCAAAACTAACAAGCTACGGCAACGCCTACACTAACTAAAGAGCGACCTCTGCTCCCCCCTTGCCCACCCTGCACGCACATCACCTGGCCTTGCCCGGTCACAGCACCAGAGGTCCGAGCCCACCCGCAACCCGCACAAATCATTCGTGTGTGTCGAGTATCCTGGCTGGCGAATTATTATGATAATCGCTGGCAAAACCATTGCGACATCCTTCCCAGCCAGCAATGCAATATGACAGCTTGCTTGTAATATTCCACAAAGCTGACCCGTCGATGCGTGCGACAGCGTAGACTCCGTGTCCAAGGTATTCGAATAGTCTGCCAAGCTGCTAGTCAGCCATTTGTCGCACCTTTGAAGTGCCAACAGTGTTGCTAAGTCGCGATTCATTCACTCTTCCCCACAGTCCGCCAGTCAGTCAGTCAGTCAGTCAACTAGTCAGCTAGTCAGCCAGTCAGTCAGCCAGTTAGCTGGAGAGGGAATAGCTTTTATGGTTGCCTTGGGGAAATTAAGTTTGTGTCATGTTTTGTGTCATTCGATCTCCCCCGACGGCAGCAGGAGATTTGCACTTCAGCGTAACACACTGCGTATGCGTGATGTGTGCCACATGCAAATAGCACAAAGTGTTGCATACTTATGCGCGCGTGCAGCTAAGCGAACTGCGATGTGCAATAAGATATTCCTAGAAATTACGCTTAAATGATTACCGCAAATTATATTTTTTTATATATAGTTAACAAGCCGAGTGTCAAAAGAAGTAAAAAAAATATTATTATAAACTAAAATGAAGTAAGGCAAAGTGAAAAATAAATATATATTAAATAAAATACAAAATAGGGAGAGAGCATAAAAAAATAATAAAAAATAGGTAAATATTAGAATAAATAGATGGAAGCTTACGGGGATATTTCTTAGCCTCTCTGAAGTTTAACCTCAAATCGTTTTCTTGTCTTGCAAAACATGGCATGACATTGGAATGTACATTAAGTCTTTGCCTAACCTTTTGTACTTTGCGATGGAGAAATACTCTTGTACCCAAAATTGTATTATTCAAAAAGCTTGGTCCTAAAATAACCGCCGCACTTTTACTGCAAGGCAAACCAAGTGCTATTTCAAATGCGGGCCATGCTGAATAATATTTCGATTATTGCAAATACATACACTCACTTGTCTGACAAAATACTCGAAGATTCACTACCTAGTAATATCAAGAAGCTACTTAAGTTGAATTTAAACCAACATTTTACAGAGTCAATTGTAGCCAAGCACCTTTAAGCATAAGCACGTTTATTGCTTGGTAAAGTTGTAAGAAAACTCATCTATTGGCCATCATTTTATAGCTCGAGGTACTGAGCACTCGCGCATATTTCATATTTGTTCAGGAGGTCCTTGCCCGCTATATTTAAAGGCGTTCGTCCTTATTGCCTGGCTAGCTGCCGTCACCGGCTTCTGGTTGGGCAATTTATCAAATATCTTATGCGAAACTCTGTAGCTGTCAGCGTTGATTTTAGCGCTTAGTGTGTTGTTGCTGCTGTGTGAAGCTCCATCTGTGTGTGGGTGTGCATATGGACTGTGGACGGCGGGCGGTGGGTGTGGCAGGCGCGTGTTGACTTTCAGTGACGCGTGAATATAAAACACACCTGTTGCCAGGGCCTCGGCTACTACGTGCGACGTCGACGGCGTCGTTTGTATGATACGTAAGGTGGGTCCTTAACCCCTACTCCAAGCTCACTTTGCCAAGATCAAACGCCGGGTGTTGGTGTACTTTGCGGGCTTCCTCTTGCACAATAAAATACATAAATAAAATACTTGTCAAGCAGGGGCAACAAAATGAAGTTTGCTGGGACTCTGTACTAAGCGCATAACATTTAATGCTATCATTGCAGAGTGTCCATAGCAGCGTGTGAACAACATGCAACATGTGTCAGCAGCAGCAGCAGCAGCAACAGCAGCAGCAACTTCAACAGCAACGGAAACTGCCTCGACATCCGCTCGAGCGCTTCAAATACTAAGAAACTTTCAATCAAACACAGAAGTTGGCATTAAGGACCGCTAGAGATCCTCACAGAGGGGTGTAAAAGTGCTTACACCTTGTTCCCGCTTCCAGCTGTGGCAACAATTAACTGATCGTTTGAGCCCAGATCAGATTAATCGCCGCAGAGGGCAGTCCAGACCAGAGGTGAGCTCTATCAGCTATAAAGTATGTATCATATTGATTTCCATCCCACATATATACTAATCAAATGTTCTCATTACACGCATTTCCATTTCAATTTAAAAACATTTTTCGCATTTGCACATAATAGTATGAACAGGACCGTTCATCCTTGAGCCTTATAAGGCTTACGTTTGGTTTACAAGAAGTTAAACTGCGTTTTGTGTTCTCATCCGCTTGTCAACGATGTCCTCTTGTCAACTTAACAACACCTCATCGACAACTGCAAACAATCGCTTTAGTTTGTCAGTGCTACCATGTATGTAATCCTTTTCAAGGGGACAATTCGGGGATTACTTCCTATATAACATATGTATATATATATACTATTACACGCGGAAACCATTGAAAATGAAAAAGGGTATATTGGTTTTGTGCAACTGTATGTCACAGGTTCCGTAGATGGCGCTTTTTTGGACCATATAATATACAAATATTCTTGGTCTGCCTGTTTATCTTATTGTCTGCCCATTGACCATTAGATCTTAAAAACTTCAATGCCCTTTTGGATACCCTTATTGCCCGCGCAACTTGCCTCGATTCTGCGAAATCGATAAATAGATTTCTTTCATATTTGATCCACGTCTTGGAACTTGTACGAACGAGTCACACGATTGGATGACTTCCCCTGTTTGCTATAAAATTTAATAAAATATCATTTTTGAGTACTTTAGGCCGCCAAATATATATATTCATATATTCCCCTTCTTAAAGTTCAGACAAATAAAAATACCAAAGTTATACAAGAATATAGTTGCAATAGGCATGGGCTGTGCAACTTTAGCACAAGTACACAAGTACAGCAGTTCGGCGCTGATTGCGAGGTAAATCCCAGTAGGGCATGCCCGCTTAGAGCACATTTAGTTATTTCTTATTTAATAATTTGGTGAACAGCATGAATACAGCTTATTTAATCCAAGCCAATGACACAGAATATTATGTAAGAGAAATCGTAGCACAAAGTAATCAGCATTTCAAATTGTACTATAATAGTTTTATTTCTGTTTATGCCCATAAAGAAATATTTCCGCTTAGCTGACTCAAATGACGCAAACATTTTTCGCTGAGATTCGATGTGAACTGCTTCGGCTCGCAAGCCCCAAGCGACCGTTTTAGGCATTGTTAAGGAGCGGGTTCCCTAGATAGGTTTTATACACTTTGAACATATTTACAGCCCGCAATTATTTCCAGCATTTTATTTTTATATCTCTGGGCTGACAGTTGATTTTCAATTTTTCGATGATTTGTTCGTACCAATGGCAATCAAAGCCCCAATTGTTACGCCTTGGGGCATTGGGCGGGCTTAGGCTCCATAGGTATCAGGCTCCTATCTGGTTCCAGACAGCTTCCTAGCCTCTTTCAGCTTTTAGAGAGCGCTTTGTTTTTATTGCAAAGTGAACGCTTCCGTTTCCGCTAGTCTTGACCCTCTCTCTCTCTCTCTCTCTCTCTCTCTTTCTCTCTTTCTCGCTGTTGTGATTCTCGTTCCTTACTCCATCTCATTCGCACACCGTCGGTGTCGATGTCGTTGTCGTTGTGGTTGTTGCTGTTGCCGTCGTCGTCTACGGCTTGCCATTTAAATTACATGGCTTCGACATGGTAAAGGGCCCGCATTCATTCATGAGCTCGTCCCGCCAGCTATTTTTACACGCAATTTCTTTGACTCTGTCGCCTTTGTTCGCTTTCTTTACTTACACAAATGAAACTAGAATCTCATTGCGGATCCTTGAAGGCCCACACACGCAACAACAATCATTGGCATCCGTCAGAGCAAAACTATGATAACAAGACTATACAACACCGAAGAGGATCCCGCCTATTGCTCATTCATCTGGGGCGCGAATCTCACCAGCAGCAATGACCTCGTCCTGGGCACCACCGCCAATTCGACCCACATTTATGCCAACGACTTGCGAGACGACTTATATGCGGTAAGTGGAAAATCTTAGAGAAATATGTTTGCAATGCTCTCAGTGTGTAACACGAGATGTACTTAGATTAGCATAATAATAAAATCAAATCAAACCAAACGACAGCAAAATATTATTGTCAGTGCTTGGGCGCACAATTTTCATTGTTCACCTTTATTGTAAGGTATGCGGCAGCAAAAAAAAAGCGTATTAAATTGGATGTACAGTTAACGCAGGGTGGACTTATTAATTTAAAGTCAAAGTGTTGTTTAATTAAAGAAACAATGCTGTACAACGTCACAAGCTTATGTTATTTTCCGTTTAACTTTTCCAATTTCAACTGATTGAGTTCTGTTTATTGTGTTCACTTTTTGTTTTTTTTGACAATATTTTCACAACATGCATTTATTGTTCTTTTATTTTGTTAAATATCTTTAAGCCTTTACATAAATTAGAGCAGACCAGTGTTGTATAACGTGCTTAGTAGCTTACTCTATTTTTTCTATTACTTGCAAAAGTTATTCAACTACCAGGCCCATCAGCTAGATATTAGCAAAAACTTGAGTGTAAGAAGTATTTTGTGTACCTATTGCAAATATATCTATTAAATTGCATTTTGTACACACAAACACATATTATATACTAACAGGCTTTTATTAAACATCACAAGTTTTATGTAGGGAACGTTTATACCGCAATACGTGGTAGTTGTATTCCAGTGAATCACACAATTTTCCCATAAACTATAACTGAGTTTACTTTAAAGGCATGTCACGTTGGCAGCTGCATTTCAATCTGTTCTTTGAGCTAAAATCAAAAGCAGCTGCTCACAGCAGATGCCTATGTTGTTTACCTCTTGCTTTTATTGCTATTAAATTACTATTTGTACACAAAGAAGAGAATTTTATTAAAAATGACAAGCCTGTTGCTTGTGGTTTGATATGAATTTATATTATATATAAGGAACGTTCCTGCAGCAATATGTGGCAGCTGCATACCAGTAAATCTCTCGGGTTTTTCTCCCATAAACTATGACTGAGTTTTCTTGAAAATCATGTCATATTAGCAGCTTCATTTCAATCTGTTCTTTGAGCTACAATCAGTTATGTCAGGGGAAGGCACCTGCTGCGAACAGCTGCAGTAGAGCTGTTGCCTACTTTTCAGCGGCACACTCATAATGTGGTTGCTGTTGTTTTTTCTTCCTCTTTTTCTAACACAGCTTATTAAACGATAGGAACGGGGAATGGGGTACGGGCTGGGTGGCAGCCAGGACGAAAGTCCTATTCAAGGCAAAAGCGAAATAACTCATTTCATAGCACAGCACGTGCAAAAAGTTTGCACACAAGCCGCTGCTGCCGTTGCTGCTGCTGTTGCTGCTGCGAGTGATGTTGCTGCTGTTGCTGTTGCTGCTGGTGTTGGTGCTGCGGGTGTTGCTGCTGCTGCCGTTCAAAAGGTGCTTTGTGTGCAACTTTCGCTCAAGGCTGCAGAAAAGGCGAACTCAAGTGAACTGGTGGTGCCTGTCTATCTCGGCGTAAGGCACAAAAACCATAGTAAAACAACAACAACAACGTCAGCAGCAGCAGCAGCAGCATCAACAATAAAAAACTTAACAAAAAGCAAAAGCAAACATGCTAAAAAAGCATGCAAAACATATTTACAATGCGAAAAAGCCAACCCACTCAGTGGGGCACGTGTTAAAACAGAGAGAGAGAGAGAGAGAGAGAGAGAGAGAGAGAGAGAGCATGACAGAGACAAAGGGAGCGAGAGAGAGGGAGATATTTAGATAGACAGTGTGATAGAGAAAAAGCCAGCACTCTAGTGTGTAGCATATAACTAGTGTGTCCGCATGGGCGTGTGGGTGCGTGAGCATAACAAGTCGCAAATAAAAGTGTCAAGTTGACTATTGAATTTTTATCTGTAGCAGCCCATCCGACTGAGCAGCAGCGGGCGGGAGGGAGACAAAGTGTCAGTGGAGGAGTGGGTGCTAGAGCGAGAGGGAGTGCTGCATGATTTATGAGCCATGGCGATTTTGTTTACTATTATTTTTATTATTATTATTACTTTTTATTGGTTGCGCTGTCGCTCAAATGTCTGCCATCCTTTCCCTCTGTTTATCGCAGGACGTGGAGGATCCGCGCACCGAATCTCTACGCGAATACTGCTACGGCCTCATGTTGCCCATCATCTGCGCCCTGGGCATCATTGGCAATGTGCTCAACCTAATTGTCCTCACCCGTCGCAATATGCGCGGCACCGCCTACATCTACATGCGAGGTAAGTCAGCCGCCGCCTGCTTCTTGCCCAAACATTTGAAACCTTTCTTTCTTTTCTTCTTCTTCTGTTACGTCATTACGAAGAAATTCAATTTCATTGACTGTCTGCAAATGGCCACTTAACTGAATAATTGCCAATTTTAGTGTGTTGAAAGTATTTCATTCACTTAAAGCGCCTCCAAATTCCACACTCAAATTGTATGCATCGGAATTACATTTTCTCACTAAATCGCTACCATGAAGAAAAGAATAAAAACAAAAACATTTACAGTGTGCCAGAAATAACATAAAATACACTTGAAGAATTAGCATCCCCTCCAAATTAATGATAATAATAATACCAACAAGAATTTAATGATAATAATAATAAGGGGCCACTACACTATGAAACAGCAAATGAACGAGTTTGATAAAACCAAAACTTTTCATAAATAAAATCGTCAACTAGAAAATCTTAAGTAGAAACCCTTAGTTCATTTTTAAATCACTTGTTCATTTTCTAGCAACATAGAACCTATGGAAAGCAATATGCTTCCGCAGTCCGAATTTTTCAACCTTGGCCAGAGTTTGTTCATCATAATCAAATAAAGAACTGTTGACTTTGGTTAAAATAACTGCAAAAACAAAAAGTTTTCAATACAACGATTGACTTTTCCGCAAACCCTGCACAGTCAAGCATACGGAGTTTTTGATTTAATGAAATTGGTGTGTGCATAAAAATAGGATTTGTTGTTATTCCCTTGCAAAGTGTTCTTCATATAGTAAATATATAAACTAAATAGGTTCAATGTTGATGAAAATAAAATCATATGCTAAGGATATACATACTTGTAATTCTGGTAAAGATTTATGTATAATTAACAATGACTTCCATAGTAAAGCTCTAAATTATGCTGATGATTCTTAAAGCAGTTATGTAATCTACTGATCTGGGACACACACTGTCAAAACATCTGCACCGGGTCGTTTCACAGCTTAAAATCAAGCCAGCTTCGATGGGCATCCTTATTTATACTGCTTTTTTCATCGAGCTTATATTCAAGACCTGCTCTTGTCTTATACAAAATGATGCTGTGCAACTTTAATGGGCAGCTCTATAAATATGGCTGTTTCGCATTTTTGAAATGTGTAACCGAAAGTGTACATACAATTTCTGAATATGGATGGAGAACGTGGTGTCCAAAAGTTTAAAGCTTAGAGCTTGGCGCGAGCAAAGCTGGCTAAGCACGCTAGTATAAATATATTCCAGCTAAGGCGCTTAGACCTCTTAGTGTGGGCCTAAATGTTATTCCCAATGATTCCAATTAAATTCATATTTTGAATTCTATAAAAAGGGATTTTCTCAAAAATTTGTTGGTTTGCCCAAATATTAAATATCTTTAAACAAGAACCGTAATTGGCATTAAAAAAACTTCAGTCATAACTTCAATGCTCTGCCCCTTACAATTTCAACTTAATTTAATTTCTCTGTTCAGTTCACATAACAAATCTAGTTGACGACCTGCTTAGAGCATGGGCGGGTCAGCCGAAAAGCGGCAGTGGGTGGCGGGAGTTTCACCGGGTTTGTTCTAGCAACACTTATGGACCAACTTATATACTTTTTAAGAGAGCAGCCATTAAATTGAAGTTTGCAGAAGCGTAGGGTTTCGGTGCTCAACGCAGCTTCACTGTAATTGCATTAAATTGGCAGACGAACATTTTTGTTTATTCTCAACATTTGTTTACTTTAATCTCAGTTGAGCACTGACTTTTAGGATATGTACATATATTAATGTTATATAGTGCATTCATGCGGAAAGGCCATACAAATAACCATTCAAGTTAATTTAAATCCAATTTTAGAATGTAACTATAATAGCTCGTATTTTTTATGGTGTACTTTGACCAAGGTATGTTCCAGATACAAGCAGATACAATGTTGAGTGCTTACCTTTTTTCCAAATATTTTTCGAACCTGAGTAGTTTAACTATGACACACTTCAGTCCTCTCGAATCGATGCATTGGGATTTAAATTCATGTAAATGTATAAAAATAAGAAAACATATCTTTTCAATGAATTTCCTATTATCATGCATATATTCACACTTGCTAATACTTAAGAAAATAACCTTTGACCCTGCCCCAACAATGACAACGGCAAACTGTAGCTGTAATGGCTTATGGCAAACGAATATGCGTATGTATATGCGTATATGTTTGTAGGAACTGGCATTAGGGAACCTTATTTGATTAGGCTTTCGGAAATTTATGTAAAGCCGCTAAGCTCCCCGGCGAAAGGAGGGACACCGGCCAGCATTGCGCCAAAAAGGAAATACGCGCAAAAAATGGCGAAATGTATTGGACAGGATGTTAAGTACGTGCAAGCAACCAACTAAGTATATTGGAGGCTCGCTCGCTTTATGGCCTTTTAATTGATTAATGAGATGGCCGACAAAAAATGAAATATGTCAACGGCGCAGCATGTTGCCAATTCTTGTGCAGTCCGCAGTACGCAGTCCGCAGTCCGCAGTCCTCAGTCCGCCTTCCGGCCGGCAATCAGTCATGCGGTGTGCGCTGTGTGTCTGTGGCAAGGACTGGGGCAAGGACTCACATTATTTGCCAGCTTCAGCTTCAAAGAAAGCAGCTCCACAAATACGCGTATAAAATGTAAAATGCTTCAAATGTAATACGCATGCGATGGCAACATAATTGATTGCCTTTTGCCTGCCTGCCTGCCAGCTTTGCCAAATGGCGGCCGGAAGACACGAGATGCGGGAGGCGGAATGCGACAAGCGAGATGGCAACTGCTAGCTGATAGGTGATAGCTGGTAACTGGAAAATGGAAAATGTTAGATGGTTGCCACTTACGGCTTTTCGTAAGCTGTGTAGCTGGGTAGCTGGGTGGCTGGATAAATGCAAAGTGAGGCCCTCCGCTTGAAATATCACCAGTCTCATCTCAACAGGCAAGTCGAGTGGCATGGCAGTAAATATTAAGTTGAATAGCCTTGCAGCAGTGCCAAACCTGAAACTGGTTCTACTTACAACTGGACTATCCCAGAACTGTAAGCTTACAGCTGGTTGCCAAGGCCTCTGAGTAATAATGACCGAAATCAGAGCAGTCATTTTATTAAAATAACAAAAATATTTTGCTGCCAGCAGCCTTTTTACGACGCGGTCCGTTGCCATTTGTCGGTCAATGCCTTCCACTGTTTGTCTGACTGCTTTATGTGTATTTCTTTCAATGTGTGTGCGGGTGTGTGCGGGTGTGTGTGTGCTCATACTGTAACGTGTATCAGAGGCACAGCACGCTGCCAGTATTTGGTGCCAGTTTAGAAAAACAAAAGTTATGCACTTGGGCTATGAAAGCTCTTTTTTTGTAGGGGCTTCCATGCTTTATGACTGACAGGGGAATAGATGGGGAAAGTTATCGGCTCTATAATAAACTAGAGTACAACTTTCAAAGGACACAGCAAATGCCCAACTTTACGCATTGAACATCAGCTCAGCAAATCGAATAACTATTCTTGGTTTACTGCCACTTGAATTTGGGCCTTCTTTTTTATGTTATTTACTAATGATTCGAGAAAAAAGATCTACAGCTATTCAAGCGAAATTAAGTGGTTGTGATGTCCTTAAGAAAATCTACATCCCGTCTAAAGATGTAAAAACTCAATTATTGAATAATTTATAAATATATGACAATTTTTAAACAGGATATCTCTCTTTTATACATTTTGTGCAAAGTTTTAAATAAATTGCTGAAATAAATACATCAATTTAAAAAAACATTCCCAGAAGAAGAGCAACAACTTAATGTGAGTGGCATTCCGTATTTCATATAGAATATTTGCTCTTTGTTGGCCTCAAGTGAATGCTCAATCAATTGACCTTCACTGTCAAGCTGACAATCCTTTCGGCCTTCTAGTCAGTTAGTTTGCACTACAAACAACTCCTGTGTTGACTGCCAATAGAACAGATTTGTATAAATTAGGCCCATCTGCTGATGAACGAATCATCATGTGATGGACACTTATCAAGCTTGGCGCACACAAAACTGACATTTATATTGATGCGGCATGTACCCAATTAGATGAACAGCATAATACATCATATGTGTGTGCGTGTGTGCGCGTGTGTGTATGTATGTGTGTGTGTGTGTATTGCTGTGTGTTTGCATCGCAGGAAGTCATATATCTAGCATTAAGCTTTGTTGGCACGACAATTTGTGGCATCAGAAGAGCGGGTCAAGTGGCCGCTCACGAGCAAAACATATAAAGTAATAATGTAATTATAGAGCCATAAACAAGTCGTAAATCAATAAATAACACACACACACACATACACTCGGACACACATACACGCGCACTCGCACACGCACATTCGCATTCGGCAATAAGTAGAAATTACATATCACAACAAAAACATCGAGCAACAACAGAAAAATTATTTATTCCGAAAAAGGAACGCGAAATTAAGCAAACAGAGAACCGACCACCAAAAAGGAACAGGAACTCAGAGCCATTCATTCTGGTTGAGGTAGGGGGATTTGTCTAGTGCCGGTTCCAGTTTCGTTAGCTTCCTGTTCGCGGCCATGTCGGAAGCGACGCCATAATTATGCCATAAACTCAGCCATAAAACTGCTATAATGTGAGCTTTACAAATTTTCCCGCTTTTTTTTGTACTTCTCGTTTTCCTTAGCCTACTCCACGGCCGCACTGCTTGCCATTGTCTTTGCCATACCCTTTGGCATACGCATGTTGGTGCACAAGGATCGCGGACAGTGGGAGGAATTTGGACCGGCATTCTATACGGCACACTTGGAGCTTTTCCTTGGCAATGGTTGTTTGGGTAAGTGTGGATAAAGCTTGGCACCACAAAAGCTTTCTAAGAACTTAACAGCTTGTTGTAAGACATACGCCCAACTATTCGAGTTCTCAGTAAACATTGATATCTGGAGTATAAAAGGGAAATACATAAATATTAAAACATTAAATTATATCTGACTACTTGAGAATGCTCGTTAGGAGATACCTTGTATATAAAATATAAAATTAATCAGGGCTTACTGTCATTAAAATTGACTTACTTAAAAACAATCTGAAATTAAAATAAATATCGTTGAAAGGTTTTCATATCCTGTATCCATTCAAACTTATTTTCAAAGCTCAAAATAAAATGTAATTGAGTGAACCACTTTTTAATTGCATATCTGCATCCAGATAGCCATTGAAAGCAAAAACAATATTTCACACCACCAATATACTCCCTCTCTCAATATGTGAACAGAGTATACAGACCTGCAAAGCAAATATATTGTATATACAACTCTTACCAATCCGTCCATTGACCTTCCAGGCGTTGGTGTGATGATGCTATTGGTGCTGACCATCGAGCGGTATGTGTCCGTCTGTCATCCGGGATTTACTCGACCCGTGATGGGTCCACCAGGGTGAGTATTGAAGATGAGATTGCTAACTTACAGCTCCGTTTAACTGTGATTGTTTGCCACAGCGTGGTTGTCTTTCTCACCTGTTTCGCAACATTCATCATCTACTTGCCGAGCATCTTCCGAGGCGAACTGATCAAATGCATGCTGACATCGAACAACGTTTACGTGTACTTACGGCGGGACAACAACATCTATCAGCGCACCATCTTCTACTCGGTGTACAAGATAATGCTGGAGGTGATATTCAAGCTGATACCGACGGTTTTGATAGCGGGCCTCAATTTGCGAATCATGTTGGTTTATCGTCGCACTTGCGAGCGGCGCCGCCAAATGGTCCTAACCAGGGCGAACTATGTGAAGGACGACGATCCTCGTAAGTTTGCGGAAGAGCGACGTCTGTTTCTGCTGCTAGGCAGCACATCGATTCTGTTCCTACTCTGCGTCTCGCCCATGGCCATACTACATATGACAATTGCATCGGAAGTGTTGCCCAGCTTTCCGTTTCAGGTGTTTCGGGCGCTGGCCAATCTGCTGGAGTTGATCAACTATTCGATAACGTTCTATATTTACTGTCTGTTCAGTGAGGACTTTCGCAACACTCTGATGCGCACCATCAAGTGGCCGTGGCTGAAGAGCAAGCTGTGCCACCAGGTGGATGAGGTGAGTGCTAGTCCGCCAGCTACGGCCACTGCTGCTGTTTGTAATCCAGTTTGCCCGCCCCTTCACACAGACACAGACCATAAAGGGCGTTCCAATGGTACGATTCGATAAGGTGACTTTGCGTAATCATCACATTACCACCACATCTGGCATTGGACGTTCGAGCAGCATATAGTCCAGGCTAACGCCTCCTCCTACGCCCGTCGCCACGCCAACGCCCACGACCATGCCCACAACCATGCCTACGTCCATCTCCAAGTCAAACTAAATCGATCCCCATCCCGAACTGCCTTTTAGAATGCTAAATGTGTTCGAATTGAACATAAGTTCCGGTGCTTTTTCGCCATATATATGTAACTCTAAATGCCGGAATACCCCCAACATTTGCCACATACGTAAACCTAGCTACACTTCTAGAAACCCACATTGAGCCAATGAGGAGATGTGTTCAGAGCCCCTTACTGCAGTATACGATATATATCTGATCGATCAGATGACACTGGAATAATTATGCTTGTAATTGCCCCAAGTCAACTCGACCATTTCAATATATCTTATGATTTTTGTTTTTTTTTTTTTCATTTTAGGATGGGGCTCTTATCTATATTAATGTGCATTCATGCATTTATTACTTATATACGAATATTATTGGTGTTGTTCAAGGTTTATGCTAGAAAAAAACATTTTAGAAAACTGAAGCAAATATACCAAATATGCATACTACATATATCTATAGCATATATCTTATATATGTTTAGATTGAATATTCATTACAGGTTATAAAATTGCAAGCAAAAGAATTTAGACATTGATCGCCAACTGAGCTGAGGCTGTCCGGCCTTGACCAGTTATGGCAAGATCGATTAGTAGACGAACAATTTTGGAGTTAAGGTGAATAAACTGAGGAACTGAAGAGAGCTTAGAGCAGCTGCATGAGCAGAAAAAATAAACATACGGAAGTCAGTTCTTGCGAGGCGAACAGAAAAGATGAGAGAGTATTATGATAGAGCTCGCGACCCTTTAGTTTTTAGAGCATAAGCAAGAGCTTAGCTAAAAAATAAAGGCAGCGGACGATAAAGTATCAATATGCATTTAAATGGTCGTCATAGTATTTCAATACATAAACATAAACAAAAACTTAAATAATATTACATATTTTTGTGTGTCACAGTTTCAAATCGATATAATGAATTACCCCTCATAATGAAACACAATATAAACGATATGTGTGTGTATGTACTTCTATGTGGCCATATAGATGTACGAATAGTCTAGTTTTAGATGCATTTCAATGACAGCAGAACAGACAGAATTGATCAACATAGAACGATTTATCGATGATATTTATGTAAACTGGTGTATTTATATATACTACAAACACAAGTAAACACAATATATTTATATATACGTATATGTATCTATTGATTGTAGTATTTAAGTGCGTGCAAGTGGATTTCCTGATTTCGATTTTTTGTGGCACACTGAAAACTTTCGTCAGACGAAACTGTTGCAAAATAATATATTGTTAAACTAATTTTAATATTTGTATGCTATTACATTAAGTTATATTTATGTCTAGTTGATAGAAATCGAACACATTGAGTGCATTTACATACTAATTGTGAGGGGGTCTAATCAGGCGATCAGGCGATCAGGCGATCAAACGATTCGCGATGAGAATCCTTTATAAGTAGCTATCCTGTTATAGACCATCTCTAGTAAGACTTGATTTACCAACAATTTTAATTAGTTCACTAATGAAGGTACCATATGTACGCTAGAAATCCCCAACACTTGCAGCACTCGTAGAAAACTTCAAGATAAATGTGTGTACCTATAAAATAACTGTGCAAAATGTTGTCTACGTGCAAGTAACTAAAACAGAACCTACTATACAAGAAACCATATATACATATATATGTCTACAATATGCTTAACAACAGTATTTATTGTGAAGTCAGATAATATTCCGACTAGGCAGCAGCATAGATGAGATATTGATGCGAAGAATTATATGCAAACTATGAATTCGAATTTTTTTTTTTTTGGCGAGCGCAGCTCAATAACAAAAAACGAAAGAAGATATATTACTATACAGATATACATTAAAAAATAAATAAAAATATCTAAATATATATATACATATATATGTGTAAGTTGCGGCTCAAAATGAGTTTAAACACATAAAAACCCAATGCAAGGCAGGCACGGAAGTGAATACTTAAAATTCGAATGCAGCCATTTGACAGCAAACGCATAATTAAGCATGGAAAGCAAATTGCAAACATATTAAATAAAGATTTAAATAACTACATACACAAGAGAAATGCTGAAGGCGCGACAGCGAGAGCTGCGTCCTGAGGCTTAATACACAGTTCATAAACATTTACCAGCCATATAAACCATTTACATGTGAATTAAACAGTTTAAATTGGTGTCAATGTTCAATATTAAATACATTAAAAATTCAAGAAAATGCTAAAAAAAAATAAACATAAATAAGCAAATATTACATTTCAAATTCCATATAAATGTCAAACGAAAACTTTACAAACCCGATGCCGTCAAAGCAAAGGATTAATAAATTAATTCAATTCTTCAAAAAAATTTCTCTTTTATTCGCATGCACTTTTCATATCTGCAATATGCATAAACAAACCAATCGTTTTTTGTTTACAGTAAAAAAAAATTTATTAACTAAGCAAAAAAATTAAAAAAAAATTAATAAAAGTAATTTGTGATTAGAAAATGGAAGAGCAACGTGAACATCACACGGCAGAGGAATATACAGTGAACATTGCCTACAAGTAACTGCGGGCAATCTATAGTTGGCCGATTACCATGGTCGCCAAACCACCAAACGCTGCTTCACCAGCTCCGCCAGTTGGCGCTGCCGTTGTCGCTTGCGCTCAAAGATCTGATGGCGGATCTTCAACAAGATGCTAACCCGTGGCTCATCCGACGGTACCTTCGCTGTCGCCGTCGCCATCGCCGTTGCTTTGCCCGCGTCTTCACTGCACGTGCTCAGCTGCTCCATGAGCAGATCCATGTCGTGAGTGGTTGCCGGCGAGTGCGCTGCAGGCTGCTCCGCATACGCGCCCTGATTGTATTCATACTGCAGCTTGAGGCGCTGACGCTGAACGTAACAAAGAAATTTTTGATTAGCTAACGGCTCCCTCTGGCTTATAGAGCAGCCGCAGTCGTACCTTTTTGCGTGCCGCATTCTCGGCGAGAAAACGGCAGAGCTGCTGCAGCTGCTGCTCGGCAAGTGTATCATCGTGCTCCTGCTGCACCCGCTGCTCCTGCCGCTGCTCCTCCAGCCGCTGCAGTTGGCGCTGCTTGATGGCCGCTTGCACCTTGCACTTGGTCGCCGTGTTCAGCTCCACTTTGATGATCTGCTGGTGCCGCTGATGCTGCTGCTGCTGCTGCTGTTGCTGCTGCTGCTGGCGATGCTGTTTTAGTATTTTGTAAATGACACCCATGGTATCTATTGCTGGTATATATCTTTGGTTTCTTGTACTCGCGCGCCGAGCTGCTGGCACAGACTGTCCAAAATTGTTGCCATATTCAGCGTCTTATATGAGCTGCGACTGCTGCTCCTGCTGCTCCCCGAGAGAGCGGCAGAGAATGAATATCTGAATAAGAGCGACAGCGGGTGTGAGAACGGTTGCTGGTTTTTTAGAAAATGCATACCAAAAAAAGAATTACAAATAAAAATAAACCATAACTCACTCAGGGCTCATATGTGTGTATGTTCGTGTGCTTGTGTGTGTCGGTGTGGCACATTGCGCGCCAAACTTCAACTTGCCATATGAGCCATTGCTCAAGTGGAGTACTATTTTCTTCTCATTACAATGCCTTTAGCAACAACACATGTGGCGAGCCCGAGATAGCTAATAATAGCACACTGCATACACACGCACACACACGCATACGCATACACAGTGTGTGCCTACACACAACACTTTCGTGGCATTGTCAGCGCATGCAGCCACGCCTTCAGCCCCGTTCCCTGTTCCCGGCCGCATGTCCGCATGTTTGGCGCCCATTCCAAGTGTCGACTTGCGCTGCTGAGCCCGCCTTTTCTCGAATGCACTTATTAACGCAAAAGGAACACTGACATTACGCTCAAATTGGGCTTTCATAAATGTAGATAAAATGTATCTTGTGGTTGCCTTGTATCTACTTGCGTCTGTCCTAAAAAGCTCGAATGTTTACATGATTTTGATTTCAAATAACGTTTTGCATTTGGAAAACAAATTCATGGATTGAGCTGAATACACAAGTTTTTAAATAATAATAAATTACTCAAATTAAAAATAAATAAATAAAATAAATAAATCGCTGTCTAGCTTGTCAGCAAACGTTGACTACAGAACAGAGTATTGCATAGTCGGTTCTACTCAACTGCGATTGATTTGATTTAAAAATTATTTGTAATTCTTGTATTCATTAGTTTATTTCTTTAAAATGATAAAAACATTTTCAAAATCTATTTATTAATATTTTGTTATTTTATTTTTAATTATTGAATGCAGTTTTTATAATATATCATACAAAATATATATTTATACAACTTTATAAATAGCGCCTGGGAAAAAACACTTTGCGACAGGCGCACTCACAAACTGCCACAAAAAGAGCGAGCGCGAGCGGGAAAGATAGAAATAGACAAAGACAGAACCTTCCTCTGGGCTGCGTGTCTGTGTCATGCCATGCACTTGAACTCCGCATTCACATGAATGTTCCATTGCCAGTCGCATTGCATTTGCCTGCTCATATGTGCGTTCCTGTTCTCGTTCCCGTACCCGTGCCCGTGCCCGTGCCCGATCCTTTTACTAGTCCAGTCGGGTCGTCGCTTGGCGTCTTATATATACACATATTATCACATGCCTGTCGTGCCGCATTTTTTTTTATATTTTCTTCTTTTTGTTTGTATTTTTGTTGTTCTTTTATTTGAGCGTCAAGATGTTTCAAAGTGCACTTCAAGTGCGTTACAATTTGTGTCTATTTTTAGGTGCTTGGGAATACGACAGATAAGAAGGCCGCCAGCCAGAAGGCGGTTCCTCTAAGGCGCTTCTCCATGCACGTAAATCATAACATAGAGCCCCTTCAAAGGGGCAAATTTAATAATGCTTAATGAGCGAATAACGATACACGCTCTATTTTGCCATAATTGTGCTTAAATAAGCATTAGCTACTCGCAGTCATACTTGAAATTAAATTAAATTATTCGACACAGTGAAGCTCAATGTCGATTCGGATGATGAACGCATAAAGGAGTTCAATTCGTTTAAGCCGGTTCTAGCCTAAAACTCTATCTTTTTTGCCTACAAACACTTTCCCGATACTTAAGCCAAATAACCAAAGCATACACGATTTTGATCCCAACAATTACATTTTCCGTCCGTGGTAGCTGCCGTTAAAATTTAGCCAGCATCTTGAATATGAAAATACGGCATGAAATATTTTCAGTGTAAAGCGCAATTGAAAATTAAAAATATAATTTTCATATCAAATCAAATATGAAATCATTTGGCTGACCAAGGTTTCTAACGAAACAAGTTTCACGAGCAGTGAACCGGATAAATAACTTGGGCTTGCAGTCCTTATAAAAAATGGCACTTAATTTTTTTCTATATATTATAAATACTATTGATATATTTTATCTATAATTGATGCCAACATCTAAGGCCTTAAAAATACACAATTAAATATAAATATATAAATATAAATAAATATATATTTGTAATTATGTTCTCACCTGTAAATACATACGCACGGTTATTTTATCGTCCTCTATCAGTAGGCGGGAGACGAAATTTCATATCAACACATCACTGAAAGAACAAAAAAGCAGAGATAATGTTTATTAGCTTAAATTCAGCTTGCTTGTTAAACCTTACTTGAATTAGTGAGAATCGGGTAGTAGAGCAATATTTATAAGTATGTTTCTTTGTTAATCGAATTTCAGCTCAGCTCAACTACGCACATGTTTAAATACATGTATGTATAAAAATACATAAGAAAAATGCTCACATACAACTGTTGCCAAACAGCGTGCAGATTTTACAAATAAATATTTATGTTGAAAAAAAGCATACGACTGTAATTGTTATTACTTTAATTTTAAATATAATAAGACATAGTTATATTGGTAATACATACCTGTTTTTTCAATGACCACATTTTAAATTGGTGCCTCCATCCCCAAAGCCATAGCCACTGCCTCCTCCATTGTTCAGGCCAGCACCTCTATTGTAATTGTGGCCGCCGTCTCCTCTATTTTGAACAAGGGCACATCTTGAAGGGTGCCGCCTCCTCCTTTGCTGAAGCTGCCGCCTCATCCATAGTTGACGTCGCCTCCTTCACTGCAGTGAAGCACATGAACCTAACTTGAATTTATGAGAATCGAGTAGAAGGGCACTAGTAAAAATAAGTTTTTTTTTAATTTGCATATAAACATACAAAAGATTTCTACACATTCATTTACATGTATACATGAATATACACATGCATGTATACATACAAACATACGTAAATTCTTATATACACATATATGTACATGCATACAAACATAATTATTCACACATACACTCATACATATATAACACGTTTATACAAACTTAAGTTCCCACATACACACATATCCATAATGCGCACATACATATGTATATACATGTATATAATATACACACATGCAGACAACATACATCAATACATGGATGCATACATACATACATACATACATACATACATGTAGGGATGACCATTCGATGGTCTTCACAAGCACTTGAGTTCTTTATGTTCATATTATTTTATTTAGAGAAATTGGTGAACAAGCGTAAACTTATGATTATTGTACATTTTCCGACATGTATTTCAAAGACAACTTTTCATTGACTCTTCTAGCTTAAAACTGAGCTTCTCCTTCTTGTATTTTTATCGATAAATCTATCGTGGATTAAATATCCATAGCAGGGTTGCATATGATAAGTGATTTTATATTACCAAATGAGTATAATGCCAACATTATACTCGCCTGTTTAATTTAACTGATTGTAAGTTCGACCACTCCTAGTTCTGTTTCCAACTCCTACATACATACATACATACATACATACATACATACATACATACATACATACATACATACATACATACATACATTCATACATACATACATACATACATACATACATACATACATACATACATACATACATACACACATACATACATACATACACACATGCATACATGCATACATACACACATACATACATACATACACACATGCATACATGCATACATACACACATACATACATATATACATACATTCATACATACATACATACATACATACATACATACATACATAACTACATACATACATATATACATACATACATACATACATACATACATACACACATGCATACATGCATACATACACACATACATACATACATACATACATTCATACATACATACATACATACATACATACATACATACATACATACATACATACATACATACATACATACATGCATACAATAGCGGGAACATGGTGGAATCTTAACGTGCACTTCCATCAGATAAGGTAACTAAAAAAACAAATTTCCTAGCTCTTACCTAATACTTAATCAGTCAATCAGTTAGTCAGAAGAAACAGTTTTATATAGGGAAGAATATAATATTCAGATGTGCAATGATGATAAAATCGTGGTAATTTGTAGAAGTATTTCTAAAAACTTTGTTTATATTATCAGTTCAAGTATTTTGTGGTTTCTTTAAACTTTGAGTCAGGGTTGTAAACGGAGCCAAGCTGCGACGCAGTTGGATCAATTTTCAATGCGCGTGTGCGCCCGTCTGTCTATGAGAATGTGTTTTTCTTCTGTGCCTATGTGAATAGGTGTGCGAGTGTGCTGTTAAGTGTGCCTGCACTTGGAGTTCATTTGGTGGTACATTGTACACGAGTATTAGCCGCTGATGCAGTCGGTTAAAATGTCTGTTATAAATGTAATTTAAATATTTCATTCATGCATTTCAAGCGTCGCATTTTCAAGTTGGGCCTCTTAAAATTGTCGGTGGTTTCTGGATTTTGGTGGTGCGACAGCCCTTAGTGACAATTAGCTGTGTGTGTCCGAGCAAACATTTCCCATAATTGAGCAGCGAGCACAGACGCTGCTCAGCTCTGCTCTGAGAGCGGGGAGAATCTCCCTTTTTCATTAGAAAACCAAACAAGTGCTGAGTGGGTAATAAAAATATGCACTGTCTGCTCGGGTTTTGGTGAGCCCTGGAATGGATTTCGTTCCGGGTCTCTGAAGCTAATCGATATGCATTGGGCCTTCTGCTTGTTCGGCTTTTCATAATTTGTGTATTACTTTGGTTCTATTTCAGTACTTCCGCTTAAATGGGAGTCTGAAACTTATTTTTGGCTTCTCTTTGTCTTTTCTTTTTTTGTTCTATGTGGTAAACAAATAAAAATATAAGCTGTGTACATTCCACACATTACGATGGCGGAATAATTGGCCGGCTGCTCAGGCACAGCCTCAGCTGACCCACTAATTACTCAAAACGGTCGGACAATCGCTGACTCTGAAGCGTCTGAGCGGCGCCCAACGCGTTGGCCCATATTCAGAGGCTCGATGAAGGAAGCCGTCACTCGCTGGGGGCCACGGCCACCGGCTGTTGTACAGATTGGCGACCTCACAACTTTATACATACATAAAAATATATATCTTCAACACAACTCCACACAACGCACAATTTCTCACGGTCCCTCGCAGCAATTTGCCAAAGTTCGGTAAGGGATCTCGGGGGCCCCCAAGCATCTGCCAAGCTGTCAGCAGCGGTGTTAATGAGCCGCGTGTAGGGTGAAATACAATGCCACGATTTGGTGCAAAGATTCTACAAACTTTACTCAATCAAGTATTTAAGCCTCAAAGTACTAGGATTAACAGCTTAAAACAACTTTGCAAGGAACAGATTTCTGCCAGACAGCATATGCCAGATTTGATCCAAGCTCAATACTCTAAAACTAAAATAGATATACAGATATAGATATAGATATAGATATAGATATAGATATAGATATAGATATAGATATAGATATAGATATAGATATAGATATAGATATAGATATAGATATAGATATAGATATAGATAGATATAGATATAGCTATAGATATAGATATAGATATAGATATAGATATAGATATAGATATAGATAGATATAGATATAGATATAGATATAGATATAGATATAGATATAGATATAGATATAGATATAGATATAGATATAGATATAGATATAGATATAGATATAGATATAGATATAGATATAGATATAGATATAGATATAGATATAGATATAGATATAGATATAGATATAGATATAGATATAGATATAGATATAGATATAGAAATAGATATAGATATAGATATAGATATAGATATAGATATAGATATAGATATAGATATAGATATAGATATAGATATAGATATAGATATAGATATAGATATAGATATAGATATAGATATAGATATAGATATAGATATAGATATAGATATAGATATAGATATAGATATAGATATAGATATAGATATAGATATAGATATAGATATAGATATAGATATAGATATAGATATAGATATAGATATCAATGTCGACTTATATGTATTCTAAATATATCTATGACAGATTCGAGCCAATTTGACACCCCAAGCTGTGTCATTGGGCTCATATGCTCCATCTTTAACAGATATCTCAAGTTCATGTGGGCACGAGTAAACGGCAACAAGATAATAAAAACGAGGCCACATACATAGCGAGAAATCTCTGAGTTGAACACATGTGAGCTGAAGCCCCTCTGCTCGCTCCCGTTGCTGGCCACCCACTTTCCGCAAAGCAGACAAAGCCTCTTGGGGAGGAGAAGCATTTAAGAGCGGTTGTTGCCACCAAGTTCCAAGAGGAACTGCCCCAAGAGTGTCGCCTCAACAACCGCTGCTCGCGTGCAACATTGGTGACCGTGGGAAACTTTACTTTGCCGCAATCTCAAAAAGCCATTTGCCAGCGTCGAAAGATCAACAACAACAGCAGCAGCAGCAAGAACAACAACAGCATCAACAACAAAAGGGGAAACAAACAACAACAGAGTGTCAGCGTCGACGTCGACTGCGACGCGTTGCTGGGCCTGCTGTAATTTCAACTGTTTGACGCGCTGCTCTCGATTGCGCACAGCATTTGCAACTGCAGCGGAGTTGCAACTGTCAATGGCAAAGATATCGAGGGTAACAGCAACCAACAGCGGCACACGCGTCTCTCTTTGGTAACATCGTGCCAAGTCCGCAGGCGGATTGCCTAACGAGACAGAAGGGAATGCAATAGATTCATAGCTGAACTGATGAGTCGAGCCAAGTCGAACCGAGCCTGAGCATGATACGGGCAAATGCTTGCAAGTAATATCCATTTGAAAACATTACCAGACTCATAAGACTGAATTGAGAAAATATAGGGTAACCTATCTTACAACATTTTAAACTAGAATTATAACATAATATAACATAACGATAGCCATATACCTCACATAGTACTCAGATGTACATTTATAAAACATGCTCAATCACCAGTTGTTGTTATTAGTTATATAAATATATATATATATATATATATATATATATATATATATATATGTACTTACCCAACTTACTAAATTCATAAATCACGCACAATTATTTTATTGTCAAATTCAGAATTCAATATAAGCACCTCATTTAAGAACAGAAAAGTAGATAGGAGCAGGAAAGAGAAAAAAATAAGAGATGGAAAGAGAGAGAGAGAGAGAGAGAGAGAGAGAGAGAGAGAGAGAAAGAGAGAGAGAGAGAGAAAATAGGGCAAAAGAATAAACTATAATGGGAGTATGACCGAAAAAAAAGTTATTATATTGCCAACACATCTAGTTGGAGCATTCCAGCCCGCAGGGGCTTCTTTCTTTTAAAAATGCGATAGTTCAATTTTTACAGATTATCTCCTAGACTACCCATATGTATAGACCTACCTAATTATTACTGATTGATGATCAACGTACAGTTCAGACAATCAATTTGTCAATCAATGAGTTTGTCATTAAGGCAAACATTTATAGGTACATACATACATATATGCGCATATTATTTTAATGAAATATTCACAAATGTATAAGAAAAAAATGATTTACGAACTGCTTACGAGTACAGTAAATACAGTGAGCAAGAACCCAGCAAAATCGTAGCGTAACAGGAAACGACGGCGTCACTGTGAAGCCGCGGCAACAACTGCGCTGAACAGTCAACTGACCAGTGGCCACCCAAAGAACAGCTTGACGAGCTATAGCGGCGGCATTGGCAGCTTTTGAATAAGACACGCATGCGCTGATGTCAGCATCGCTAAGAGAGAGGAAGAACGGCATGCTTAAGCATGCCGAAGATTAAATACCCTTGCAGACATTTGATATTAGGTGTTGCGATAGAATTAATTTGACTATGAGACTTGAATTAAGATTATATTTTAAAATAACCAGTGGCTTTATGAGGCAGAAGACGGAGAATGTTTTTAGTAAATTAACATCTAATCATGCCTCTGACAGCTATATAATACAGAAGTTCAGCCGACTCTGTATGAACTGGCTGCTACAAAAAGACGAACCTATGCTAAGTCTGTATAGAAATAGAGGGACAAACAGATGGATATGATTAAATCCATTCGACTGTGTTGTGAATATCTTCTTCAATGCGTTACACATTTACTGACAAAACTCGACTACCCTCTCAGAAGGGTATATAAATTGCGACGCGGCGCTGCGACTGCTGCTGTCTCAGCTGCCGACAGTCAGTCGAACGCTAGCGGGCAGATTGTGCGCAGCCTGTAAGCCAAAGCCAAGGTATAAGCCCAATAGTTATCCAAAGCACCATGTCAATGCATGACCGGGGCTTGCCGGTGGGCGCAGTCTCGCGTTCGCATCAGTATCGCAAGGTCATGAAGCCGCTGCTCGAGCGCAAGCGGCGAGCGCGCATCAACAGATATCTGGACGAACTGAAGCAGCTCATAGTGGAGGTCGTGCAGTTGGTAAACAGTCGCCCTTGCTCAGCAAAGCACATATCACACCTGTTTTTTCATAATAACTAGGATGAGGGACGCTGTCCAAGCTGGAAAAGGCTGACATACTGGAACTGACTGTGCATCATCTACACAGACAGCTCAAGCCCGCTAGCATCCCCAGGAAGAGTGAGGGGCCAATCCACTTGGAGGCACGGCACAGCTTTCAGCACTTTGCGTTTGGATCTCAACAGTGCATTCTAGAAGTAGCACGATTTTTACATCCTCATGACATGCAGCTCAATGGCAAGTTCCTAGGGGCCATGCAGCAGCTGATGCCAGCTAGACCGGAAACTTTTTGGCGACCCTGGTAGATGGATACTGGAAGAGATGGAATGTGTTCAACATAAGTTGGTATTTACAGATATTTAAATATTATATAAATATATTAATGTTATGTTTAGGTAAAAATGGCAAACAGTGTCTAACTGTACCTAAGTTCTCATTTTGAAGTCTTTGAAGTGGGAACTTTTATAATTCGCAGCTCTTCAGGGCAAATCAAGCTGTTTTGTCTGTCTGCCTCTATATCACTCTATTAAAACGTCTGTCAAGTTTGGGTTGGCAAATATTTAACTACTTTAATATTGGAATATCATATTGATTCCCTGAAATCAAATGAAAAAGTCATTAAAGATTTACTTTCTCATTTATATGTACCTGCAAAACTTATGTGGAATACATATTGGGCGACTTTATTTCCCAAATTTTAAAAATGATGCTTCAGTAACTAAACGTCATAATTATTGCAAAGATTGGGTTTAAGAACAAATTACTTACAGAAAATTAAGTATCAGAGCAATCAAATGAAGTCAAGCGTTGACAGCCCGAAGATACCATTGCATATTCTTCATTGAACTTCATGGCACTTTTGTAGTGTATTAAATATTTATGGCCAACTAGTACGAAATGTTTTAAATAAAACATTATATTGCTTCATTATAATAATTTCAAAAAACGTTTATTTTTCTTTCTTTTGTGTTGCGTGTTTTCTTAGGTTCATTTTGTGTGCATGTTTTTCCTTTAGCAAAATCAGAGCAAATAAGATTTGCATTTTTAATGGTAATTTAACAGCGCGTTGGGCTTTAATTAAATATTAAAAAACATTTGCTTAATTCACATTAATGCTAACAAAAATATTGCTTACGTTTGAATTTACCGCACAATAAAAATAATTGCCTTTAGTTGACGATTATTTAATTATATAAAAAAAAATCTTCTCTTTGAATTATCATAAGTATTAGAGTATATATGTTATATAATAATAGATTATCGGATTAGAACTGTGTATATATTTTGTTGGGTATTGTTTCTCTTTTAGTTGCTGTTGTTATTCCTCTTTAACTTAGCTGCTACAATTTTCTATGTACAATTGTTTCAATATTCCTTGTCAATTGAAATAAGCGCCAAAAAATTGATTGTTGCTGCAGTTTCTCTTTTTCCCACATTTCTTTAATGAACAGAATTTAATCGACAGAATTTAGTTTGATTAATATCATCATCATTTTTGACATCTTTTAGTGTGGATTTCGTCATGTAAGCAGCTTATATGCTAGCTAATAATATAGTTTAAAGCTATATAAATAATTTGATAATATAAATATGTGTTTATTTGTTGTTGCATTTGCTAAAGAATTTCAGTGTGGATAAAAAGACATGCAAATATTTTGTGCATTATGCAAGTTTAACTAACTTTGTCAACTTAAGACTTTAGGCTGCTTTTCCCTTTCAATTTAAATAGTTTCGAAATGAAACAAACTGCGCATTACATTCATCGAAAAGTATTAGCTAAGATACAGATACGTAAATACACAATTTTGGCTTTTAAAATACATAATTGTACTCGTGCCGGGCAATTAACAGAACGGTAGAAAACAATATTGTGTACAAGTAGCAAACTTTCATTATATATATATATATATATATATATATATATATATATAGGTATTAGTTTAGAACAAAAGTCTTGAGTAATTTTTATATTTTCACAATTTGTTTGTTTTGGTTTTTTTTTTTTGCCATATGAGGAAAACACAAGTTTTTTTTAATGCCATTGCACTTGATTTGGTTTTAAGCTCTAATCAATCTACAAGTATTTGCACAATTAAACTCTTTGCTTCATGTTTAAAAAACCAGACCTGTTTTCCTATTCAGTTTTGAGCGTCTGAAGTTTTGTTCTTTGATTTTTACATTGATTGCTTAAAGTCCTGGAAACGTTACCGATTGCATTAAGATTTGCTGTACGTAGTTGTATTTGGTGAGCGTAAAAATTATATTGAAAAAAAACATACTGAAATACAATAAACATTCAATATGAGTAACTAGTTAACTAGATGAAATCAATTCATATTTTGTAGCATCAATTTAAATGCCCATAAATGACAATTAAATTTCGAAATCTTTTCAAAAACTTTTAGTATCTTCTTTACTATTTACCATATTGAACGATCACTGTATATACAAATTCTACAAAATTCAACGCAAGCTATTTAGAAAACACGTTTAATCAATTTGAAAACAAATTATATATAGGGCTAGATATATAGCAAAAGATATAATTAGCTCTGAACGGTAAAAAAGATAACACCAAGAGAAAGAGAAAGAGCAAGATAAAGAGAAACACAAGGCAATATTTACGAATAGAGAAAAGTATTACGTGGCTGTAGGTATGATAGAGTATAGGTAAAGCATATTGCAATAGAGAATGTACAATCGAGGTTTTCTTTTTGTTTATAGATGTGGAGTTTGGTTATAACATTTTGTTTAACTTATATTCATGTGACTTTGAACTTAGGTTTTATTGATATTTTTAAATGTTTGCTACTTTGAACTTATTGAAGTCAATGTTGTTCATAGTTTAAAGTGTTGTTTAAATGTTTTTTTTATTTTTTTTTTTTATTATTTTAATTATATTTGTTTTTTTTTTGGTTTTTTTTTTTTTTTTTTGTTTGTTTTGTTTTAATAAAGCTGAACCACATATAAAATAGAAATTATTTTAGTATGGCGATTAGATTGTTGTAGAGAAGAAAATATACGAAAGCAGAAAATTAACAGAAGAGTATAAAGTGTTATGCATAGTGTATAAAGTGTATAGAAGGTATAGAGTGTGTAGAGTGTGTTTGTTTACCAGAGAGTTTCCAGAGAGTTTGCACGGAGATGATTGTAAAATGCGATAGTTCCCAAGGCATTTCAAATGTATATACTTGTATAAATATTGTATGTAAATATATCGTTTTAATTTCCATTGAATATGTTTTCAGAAAGTTGCAAGCTCTAAGTAGTTGTCGTAAAGAATGCCAAAATAAATGTAGTCGAAAAATTTGATATCGTTTAATAAGGCATGCAGAAATATGTTATAGTTATGAATGGTAATATTCAATCAAAAAAAAAATAAGCACATATTTCAATAGCTTTTATTTAAACTGCAAACTGTACTTGAAGTATCCATGAGCAGACCATGTATGTATGTTATGTGTATAAACGATCAACATATAAATAGGCTAATTTAGCTTAAATCCAATTTTAATTATCTTCCAATAATACGTTAAATACTCGTACGCCACGAAATGAAAATAATGAATAAAAATGTTACAAATGTGCCTACGCTAAGGATTTCGTTAAAAGTATTCATGTTTTCAAATAACATTATCGGAGCAATGTTTTTGGAGCAATGTCTAGAGTTTGGAACCAAATTGATTGTCTGCGCATTATTTTGCTGCAGTGCAATGAAAATTAAGCCTAGCAACTAAAACACATATATTTAAACATATCTATAAATTTGAACAGAAAACAAAAAAACACGCACATACACAGTCACGCCGAAGGAACACGCTCGTGGACATTAGTCCAGCTGCTAGGATTTTAATAGCTGAAAGAGGGGTTTCGAATAAGTTATAGAGCCATGCCCCATGCAATAAGCTTTCGTGTTCGTGTCAATAGGTTAAACCAATTGTTCAGTGGTGGGTTGCCCCTTTTTGTGCTCGATGACTTTTGAGTTGCGAGTTGTTCAATTTGATAACACAAAACGTTTACTGACATTTAGTTTAGACAGCTATGTATATATATATAAATTGTATATATGAGTCGTATATAATTAGTCCAATAAGCAAATTTTCCATTAATAAACTTCGCATATCAGCACGTTCGATTATCAACAGTTGTTGCTGTTGCAACTGGCTCAGCAAAAGGCTAAACAATCGAGATGGGAAAGCATCTATTAGCATAGTATTTAGGGTTTGCCTTGGAGCACATACAAGTACGAGTAAGTTTTTGTATGTATTTGTGTATATATATATATTTTTTTTTTTTTTAAAAGCATTAGCATTCTTTTTAGGCATTTACTATATGTATTAATATTTTGCCCTTGGCGCATTTTGCCTACAATATCTGATTTTTATGTATATTAGCATATATGTAATTAATTTATGAAAAAAAAAATTCAACTATAAATTTAATTTATTTAATTTGTTTTCTGTTGGCTTTAAAATTGATTTCTTTCCTTTTGCAAGCATTTCAATAAAAATGCTCTCACAATAGAACAAATGCCTAATGTAAGTTATACATATGTATATGCATATATATACATATAAATATATACATATATATATATAAATGAATATATATGGTATGTAGTGCATACTCTTATATATACATATATGCACATACTTGTATAAGTAAGTAATTTTAAAAAAGCGACGCTATTATTTAAATTGGTGTTTTTTGACGAATTTTGCATGACATTCCTCTGTGGGCTGCATTGTTAATTGTTTTTATAATTTTTATCGTTGTAGTATATGTATATGTATTAAATATCTGCATTATTTGGAATTTCACTTAAACAAATTCAAGTTTCAGTTTTTGTTTTCAATTTGCGTTTCGATATTTGGGGCTAACAAGCTGCCACTAGACAAATGACATATAATACATATGTGTGTCTGTGTGTAGGTCTGCTTGTGTATGTGTGTGTGTGTGTGTGGATGTGTTTCTGTATGTATAAACTTCTTGCAAAGTTACTTAACCATTATATCAAACCATATTTATTTATTGTGCACGAATTCGTTGTCTTTGCTTCATGCTTCCAACTCTGTGACAATCTCGAATTTAAGCGCAATTACAATTCTTGCGGTTAATCACCACCTAAACTTAACGCCTGCACTATACGTGGATCAGCTTTACTACCCTCACGAAACTCTTCTAAGGTGAGGCGGTCATCATGATTCTTATCCATTTGATCGAAGATCTTATCGACACGCTTCTGCGGTGTATTCTCATCCTCCGTTTGCGGCTGTTGGCCCTGCTCGTGAATGGCATGAAATGTTATTAGTATATGTTACTATCAATAATATATATAAATATTATTAGTATATATTATACATAATTCAACGAAAAATGTATATGTAGGCTACATTCATTACAGTCTCTCTTACTTAGTCAACTCTTACTTATTCTTATGGGTAATTGTGATACTCTCTGGAGTGATAAGACTTACCACCATCTGATAAATGGCATCAACAATATTGTACATTTCCTCTCGAGTAATGTAGCCATCATTGTCCACATCATAAAGACGAAAGGCCCCTGTAGAGAAGGTAACACTTACATTATTTGTGATGGCACATGATTTGTATAGCTTACAGTGTAACTTCTCATCCAGGTTTCCACGTGATGTTATGGATAAAGCCCGAATAAATTCCTCAAACTCAATGGCTCCGTCCTGCCGATAGTTAAGCCATTGGCCAATAGGGGAATCAATCAATTGCTTATATTCATATACTCACATTGTTCTCATCGAATACTCGAAATACCAAGGAGGCAAATTTACTGGGGTCTCCGTCCGGGAAAAATTGCTTATAAATTTTGATGAATCCCTGGTTGCAACGAATGTTTAAAAATTGGTTATAAAAAAAAAATGGAGCAGAAAAAATCTTTGTTTATAGACAAACAACTTTCAATAATTATTTACTCTTTTTCGTTTATTTACAATGCATTTTATTAATTTCTTTAAGTTTAAGCCAGGGCTGCAAACCTAACAAAAATGTTCGCTGGTTCGGTTCACGGCTCGAACCAATGCCTCGCGTAACGTTGCAGTTCCGGTTCATTACATGCTCAAAGAAGATTCCACTCGGCTTGCAGCCAAGATTTAAACACAATAAAACATATAAAATCGGCAAAGAAGCATTAAGATAAAAACGCATACATGAAATTGAAAGTTTAGATCTTGCTTCTAGTGAAAGAGGAATTCTTTAAGGGAAATGTTAATGAAATGGATATTTAGTGATAAAATGGTTTATTATCAAAGTACATACATTACACTTTCATTATTTACAAGATTATTCTATAGATCACTTATGCGTTTTTGCTTTCAGATGTAGGCCGAATCTGATTAGAAAATCTACCTTGATCTACCTTGATTGTAGGCTCCACAAACCGACAAGACAACTTTAACAGTAGGTTCCACCCTCAAGTACATAATTTAAACAATGCATTACCACACACGCAGAGTTCATTAAATTATGAAATTCAGCCCTCAGTTTGGAAATGAACAAAATAAAGCAATTTTTCGATGCAACATCAAAATAGCAAAAGTATTGAATTTATTCTGATGAATTTCCGAGAAAGTAATTTAAAAATGTCTGTGAATACGGCGCCATAATGAGACGCAGTGTGAAATCAAATATTTTGTGAGCTACTAGTATATCCAAAGATTTTTTTTTTACCATAGTTATAGTTGCTGGCGGTACTAGTTAAGCCATCCATGACTGGGATAATTACACCCGCGAATACCCCAGCGAGAGCGGTAATCAAATTTTCCACTGGGGGAAATGCGAACAAAATATGATATGTGGACAACCTAAACAAAGCCAATGCCATAGTCAAACAAAAAAATGATGGAGAGTGCTTGAAAAAACGGCACACCACATTTGGCACATCAGTAAAAATTCGGCAAGTTTAAGTGGCAACAAACTGGCCGAAAACAAAGCCACAAAACTGCGGCACCAATAATGGCGGTGGCAATGAGTGGGAAGGCCAAACAAACATTAAACCAAAACATAAAATTTCGAGTACAATCATAAAAAAATATAGTATGTAAATAAAAAAAGCCAAGTAGTTTGCAGCTTGGTTTTTGTTTTGCTTTTCAGTTTTAAATAGTTATGGTTAACAATTGTGTATTTCTCTTGTGGAGAGGCTGGTGAAAATGAAAAGGAACAGACTTTTTTAAATTTTGTTATGGTTTTATGGTTTTTGTTAATAGGATTATTTTGCGGTTAGTTGTTTGAATACTAGTAGTTAAAAATAAAATATGATGTATACATTTAGCGATGGACTCACGTCTCGTACTTACTTGTTCAGTCAGCAGACCATTCGGGCAGTCTTTAAGAAAACCTTTGTGCCTTTTTCACGGGCGGGAATTCGGAAGTCAAGGATCAAAATTGCATAGTTTGTTTTGATAGCACAGTTTACAGTTCAGTGAGATAAGGAGAACGAGTTCAAAAACAAGCCAGAGCCGAGGAAAAGAAAGAGATAGGGAGAGAAGGAGAGAGAGAGAGAAAGAGTCGATTCAAGATTAACATAGAGTAGACACAAGTAGTCAAAGTTGTTGACAATACGTTAAATAAATGTAAGAAGAAAAAAAAGTAAATTTAAATTAATGAAAACAAAAATATATCGTATTCATATTATATATACATTTGTACATATACTATGGTAAATTGATAGAACCAGCAAAGTTCTGCGAAAAAAAAACAGTTGCACACAAATGAGAAAAATTGTACACATGAATTAGTTAATGTAAATATTTAATAATTGAATGTCAACAATTTGGTGCATTATTTAATGCTAATTAGATTGTGCAGCCTCGCTTCAAGGAATGCCAACTGATATTTACATATTGCGGCGCATTCGCATTCGAATAGCCCCGAATCTCATTTAATGCATTACTTACAATTAATCATATTTGACAGCAAAATTGTTTAAAGTAATTTCGAATTCGTAACGAATGCACACGCACCTCAGAGCGACAAATGAGCAAAATGATTACATTTAATTCAAATATGGCAAATGGCATGTGTATACATACATACATATATACATACTCATAGACAGACGCTAGGAATAATAAAAAACAAAAAAAAAAAAAAACAAACAGTTGCTGATTGCCGCCGAGCTGTGACAGCAATGTGCTTACCATTGACGTATTTCCTTTTCGGTAACTGGAAAGAGATTCAAGAAAAAATTGGTTATTGAAATTACAGAATAATCGTACGCTCGTTGCAATCTACATAACTAGCCCCTATATATAAGGCTGCAAGACGGAGGCGAACCGTGTCAGGAATTCCAAATTATTTCTTACAATTTTCTCAATATTAAAATATCGACGGCTTGTAATATTTTTAGCAGAACAGAAGCCGAATGGTAGGTTCAAAAGAAATTTGTTTCATTCAAATTGAAAATAAATAACAAATCAAGGTTTGAAGCAAGATTTGGGCTAGGGATATAGACAATCCGGCAGGAAGCTGCTTCGAGCTGTAAACCGAAATAGCGACTATTATTTTTGGCCCACAGCCCTGGCAAATACTCTCAATAATTCATAAGTCGAGCGTTGGCCGTCGTCCCCAAGTCGCAAGTACTCATTGATCCCAGTACTCATCCCATTGAGCTGCTTACCTCTTACTTTATCGCTGACATTACACAGCCATGGAGACAGGCAACGTAATGCCAACTCAAATAATTTGGCTCAGCCGCTGAGTTATGGCGGCTTAGCTCGAATTCGGACGGCTTTTGGCTATCAACTTGCCACGAAAATTGATGATGTGTCATTGACAGGCTTAGGCGCATCAGACCCCACTAAACAGCTATGAAATTGACGGGGTAGCCAGCCGGAAACATAATAGCAACTGTGTGCAGTGTGTGTGTGTGTGGAGTTGCATAAAGTGCATATCATTTAATAAATCATTTAATTTATTACCAGGTAGCTGTCGAGCGCAGTCACAGACATTCACACACGCACACACACACCGCCCACACACTATCAGCTGTGGCACATACCTCCAACTACATACATGTGGGTATGCGTGTATGTGTATCGTCATATGGTACTCTAAGAGGCGCGTGTGGTGCATGCACGTCTGCACTTAGAAGGCTGAGCGTACGGAACTGTGTTCTGTGCCACTTTACAAATGAAAAACACTGAAAAGCAAGACTCAAGCTAACTAGTTGGTGTAACGAACTTGAAATACCCTTTCAAATTTACTACTAAACAGGCCACGTCTAACCTCCGACATGTCTAACAAATTATTCAATGATTGGCCTCGAGCCCAGGCAAATCTTTGAGTAGCACATCCCAACTATAAAATATGGTGTTTTACTCAAGTTTAAATCCGACCCGCTTCAACTCTGGCACCCCAATTAATTCTTCGCTATGAGCTGTGCCTTTAACCATTTGTTCGGAAAATCAAACAACCCGAGATCTAAGCCAAAACCAAGGATGGAAGAGCTTCACGAAACGAAACCAATGGCAGGGCGCTGGTTCAAACCGCAAGCCGAACTACCTGCTATTTATTTTTTTGCAGCCCTCTTATAAATATTTATTTGTTGAGTTAATTTTATGGGGCTGTGGATTGGGCGAGCTTGGGCATATCTGGAAAAAACTTGTGTAAAATTGTACAAAAATGGAGCATTAATTGGCAGCACCTAATAGATATCTGAATTATAAAGCAGGAATGAAATGCTTGTGTGTTTGTGGGGTTGGCAAGCACATTTCATGGAGACGCCTCTAATTAATTGTAAAGTAAAACGGCATTGATAGAAACTTATATATGCTTATTTAACAGCTGTCGAAAGAGCTCGAGCAGATTTGATCTAAGCTTTTGTTTAACAGTGCGCCTTGTAACGAAGTAGACAGCGAACTCATTTGAAATTGTGGCATATGTGAATTGCAGTACTAATTGGAAAATGGCATTGGGGTTAGTCTGCAACACATCCTTTGCGTGCGCTGGCTCGGACCACACAACTCTGTCTGGGAGTTGGGTCGTCTTGAGGCAGTGGCCGTCATAGTCTTTGCACGCAAGCCAAGTCAGCGGCAGCCATTGAGCACAAATTGAAAAGCCTCCCTAGTTGCCTGGCATCAAAATATAACTCATTATAAGCCGCACAAGCAGAAACGGCACCCCTTTTGACCCGGGCACCACGCACCCATCGAACCACTGGCGCCCCTTTTAAAAGTCTACGCACGCCAACGCGTCGGCTAAGTTGGCTCCTGGGCATGTTGATGTCGACGTTAAAGGACTTTTACTGCGGCTATATGAATAATACATGTGTATGTGTCTGTATGGCTGTGTGTATTTGTATGCGTATGTGTGTGTCTCTCTGTGTGTGTGTGTGTGTGTGTGTAAAGCGCCGCCAGCAGTAAAGCAAATTAGTTCATAGCCCGGCGCATTGAGTGAGCTACTCAAAGATCCAATTCGACCCAACGACCCTGCCGCCACCCAGCCCTAGAATGCTGCTGGCTGGCAAAAAGAAAAACAAAAAATTATTTCGATTTAAATGTTTATTTGCACAAGGCGGCATTTCTCTTTTTTTTTTTGCGAATTTGTCTGTCCAAAAGTTATTTGTGGCCCGCAGTGTTTATTTAATCATTTTTCGTTGCCTGCTTTTAGGCGCAAGCGGAATAAAAAAGGCCAACGGGTCCTGCGATTTTGACTTTTCTGGATTTAATTTAATTTTAAACTGATTAAATTTAACTTTTTTATAAGCACACACACAGGCAGGCAGGCACACACCTCGCAAGTAGCAAGGACTCAGTCGCCGCCTGGGAGTGCCCACATGCTAATTAATGAATGGCTGCCAAAGCTTCTGCCAACATTCACACATTCAGAAAACCAACAAAAATAAAAAATAAAATTAAGAAATAAGGGCGAAAAGAAAACAAGCCCCGACTTGCATGCGGGCACATACATGTGTGCACATGCATGTGTGTGTTGTGTGCGTGTCACGGCAAACTTTTTGTAGCTGTTTGCTTTGGCCTCACAAGTTCGTGATGAGGATACCCTGTAAACAAGCAGGGCTTAAATATGTGGCAAACACGCTACCTAACGGCGCAACAAATGCGCCATTAATCAAACACCTAATTGCACTACGATTCGCGGACAAGCAAAAGTCGCCGAACAATAGCAGAAAATATCATCAATATTGTCTGTAATAACTTGATATGATTTGGCAAAGCGCATGGTTCAAGTGTTCAAGCTCTTCCAGCCTTCGCTATCATCATTCCAGCTATTTTCCGCCCGTATAGGTGCATAGGTTTGGCATTAAGTTTGCAGGTGATTTGACGTTTACTTGTCTTTAAATCGTTTTCATTTGGATCTTTAATTGCAAAAAATGAGCCCTAGCCAGCTTTTGGGTGGACTTCATAATTTCTCATGTATAACTTTGAAAATCCCACCAACTTTTTACACTTAGGAGTAGAACATTCGAAAACATGGACTGTGCGTTGATCGACAAACGGCTCGTCAGTATCTGCCTCATATATTGCACAACATCTTTATAATACGAAAACTGAAGCTGTTTAGCAATTCAGCCTAAGGCATCTCTCATGACCTATGCAGCAGCTTTGTTGCACTGCATTTTAACGTTCACGTGGCAAACACTTAACCATGTAATAATTAATTATTAGCAGCAATGGTATCAAAATTCACGATTCGCCTTGACACATTTCATCATGCAACTTTAATTCAAGTTCCGCGTGCTGCTTGTAAATGTCACGATTTGGAAATATGAAACCAATTGCGATTGCAAAGGCTAAACGGAGATAAGACCTTATTGGTCAGAAAAAGAACAAGAACATACATATATCAACTGAAGGAGACAAAGAGAGAAAAATATATGTGACAGTCAGGTCCAATCTTATGCTACTTATTCTGGGCTTATAGATACTTACACTGATCATATCTGAAATTAGTTGACAGAGACAGAAAAGTTGAATTGGATACATGGCAGAGGGAAGGGCTTATTACTCTGCCTGTCACGGACAACTGGTTCTCGACCCGTTCTTGTTAAAGTTGCCGTTAAAGTTGACGGGAATGTAGTTCTATTTACTATCCCCTAATTATGTTGTTCCTTTTTTCCTGTCAATTTTAATGTTGTCCCATATTTTCTCACTCTCAGCCTCTTTCTCCTTCCCACTCTTTCTCTGTCACTCCCTTTCTCTCTCTCTCTCTCTCTCTCTCTCTTCCACCATCTCCCTCTTTCCCAATTGGAGTTGTCTGTTGGAGCTTAATCAATATGTTTGTGTAACCATTACAACCGGACAAGGAAATGAAATGTCTGACTGACTAACTGATTGCTATTCTGATTGACTAACTCATTGACTAGCTGGTTGACTGATTGACTGGTTGATTGACTGACTGACTGATTGACTAACTCATTAAATAACTGACTGACTGACTTACTCACTGACTGACTACCTACCCACCCGACTGACTGACTGACTGGCTGACTTACTGAGTGACTGATTGACTGACTGTCTGACTGAGACTGACTGGCCGATTGACTGATCGGCTGACTATCTTACTGTGTGACTAATTGACTGTTTTACTGATTGACTGATTAGCTGACTGACGGACTGGATAACTGACTAAATTCCTGTCTGACTGATTGATTGACCGACTGACTGACTAACTGTCTGACTGAGACTGACTGCCTGATTTAATTACTGATTGACTGATTGACTGACTGACTAGCCGATTGATTGAATGATCCACTAACTACTAACTGATTGACTGACTAACTGACGAACTGAGTGTACTCGTAACATATATATACTGCTTTTAGAACTATAACGCTGGAGAGCTAATGTGCTTGAATACTTGCCGGTCGTTGCGTCTCGTCCTGCAAAAGCTTCAATGGCGCCATTAGCAAATTATTTACAACATGTGCACCATGTTTTTAGCCTGGGATTGGTATTGCTACTGGGACTGGGACTGGAATGAAAACAGATATTGGCACTGGTATTGGGGCAGAGACAAGCACAACGACAACGACTAGCACACAGTGTCAAAAGCCAAAACTAAGTGAAACGGATTAAAAGTTAGCAACAACGCTAGGAGGCAAATGCATTATAGTTTGGAAAATAAATAATGCATTTGATAAGATACAAGAAAGAAAAGCGTTTTTAGGCTGGAAATTTTGCCTTAGCTTTGCACATTGATGACTTTTACAGACAATTTGATTGCAGGTAATCTGCAATATTCCATTTATATATTATATATATACATATATTCTCTTGTTTAAGGTATACCGACTTAGCTCGCAGTTCAGTTCAAGAATACGCCCACACAAACACGAAGTGTAGATAATTGATAATGATGAAACACACAAATAACTACAGATTGACATGGAATATTAACGTAATTAATTGAATAATATAATATTAATTCTGATTTATTGCGTCAACAATCAGCTCTGAAAGCTTCCTCTCCTGTTCAGCTACCCCTCGAACCAGTGTGCAGCTGGCGTTAACATTCGAAGTGCAGAGTGGGGGGGAATGGGAGCAGAAGCAGGAAAAGCGCTGGAGACTTCATTGGCAGCAGCTATTTGACGAGGAGGTGCTGTTGCGGGTGTGGGGAGAGGTGTCGTTGAGTGTGTGTTTTTACTGCTCTGGTTGCTTGTTGCTTTTACACGTTTGATTTCCACTGCTAAATGCCAAACAAACTGTCACGAGGAGACAAGCTGAGTGCCCACTCGCACACTCAAACACATGCACACACAGAGGCAGCCGTTTAATGGCACACACACTCACACTCACGGAGAGAGGGAGAGTGTGTGTGTGTGAAACATAACGTGACAATGAGGCAACCCCCGACGAGCATTGAACACAAATACAAGTGAAATAATAATTTCAACATTGAATTGAATTTTGAGTACCAGAACTGACTGGATGCCAATGCGTGCAAAATGAACTGATAGACGGGCACAGGGCACAGGGCACAGGACATGGGACATGGGACATGGGACATAGGACATACGACTTAGAACACTCAAAAGGACCATCACTATATTCCCCATATTATCTATGAGTGTGCGTGTATGTGTGTGTGTTTGCATAGCAAAGAGTATGTGCCAAATGAATGCAGTTCAAGTGGCATTGCAATATGACATTGCGACTGGCAGGAAGCCTGTCTGGGTCTGGGTCTGGGTCTGGGTCTGGGTCTGGGTCTGGGTATGGGTTTGAATCTGGGTCTGCGTCTGCGTCGGGGCTCCGTTCGAGTCTGGAACGACATTGTCTGCATTTTAGTTTTATAAGCGATTTGCCGCCGCCTTCCAGCAACTGTTTGTCAAAGCGAAACACAAACACAAATTGACATAAAAGACCCACACACACACACATTCGTAGGGATAGGAGGACTACCACTGGGAACAACGGCGGCAAAAGTAATCAAATGTTCGCCACATTTCAGCAAGTTTTTTTCTTGGCTGCTCTTCGCTGCAGCCTTATTTTCTGAGGGCATAACTAGCTACAGCAACTGCCTGCGCGTATTGAAATTCCTTTAAAAACGTCACGAAAAGCGCGAAGCACAACTTGAATTCATTTTTGCGCGGATCTCTATGTGTTATTATATTATATCTGATCAGACAAATAAAACAAAATTGCTTACAACCGATTTACGCACATTTTCGACCTTTCAAATTAAATTTGAAGATAATCGTGAACACTATTTTCCTCTGAGATAGGCGAGACGTGAGAAATATCTGTGAAAATAAGTTTGAAGCTGATCGCATAGTATGCAAAAGGTTCCGAGCAACCGTTTTTCACATCTAAGTATGCATACACAATACAAACTTCTCTTTCGTTTGTTATTTAATCCCCAGTGTATCACCCAGTTAGTCAGAAATTTAATGTATAAATATAGGACAAATCTGAATAGACTGAATATTATGATCGAATCAAACACATTTTATGCAAAGATTCTTAGAACGGCATTGAAGTAGATCAAGTTCGGCGCAAAAACAACTTAATAAGACTGACATTTGAAAAGAAAATAAAAGACAACAGATAACATTAAACAGGGCACTAAAACATTTTGCCATTTTGTCAGATATAATGGCCATTTATCATACAAGTGGCGGGGAATAAAACATTGCTTACAGCAAATCTGTTATGTCTGCGCGCCTGTGCTTTCTCTGCTCCCAAAAATAAAGTAGTCTGATTCGATTTATACAAGAACAGATGTACCCACCAAATTTGATGTCCCTACTACATTTATGTAACAGACAGCTATCGATACTTATCGACTATGAGTAAAAAGGAAAAGCTATCGATAACTTAATTTAAACCTAAGAGTCTCTAGCCTGCACAGCCCTTGAGATTTAACCTTTTTCAATACATACAGGGTATGAAAATTTCTGTAGATATCGACTTGCTTCGAAAAGCTCAGCTTAACGCAAGGCCCAGATGAAAACACAGTCCAGTACAGTAAGCACCAATTCAGGCAACAAGGATTGCCAATAATATGGCCACTCTGGGCAATGAACAATAAAGAATACTCCTTAGCTCTTAAAGCTCACGACCAGACTGCGAATCGTAGTATGCAATCGAAATGCGATGGAGCGTCGTTCTTGATGTGTGCTGGGGCCTTAGACGGGGCGGTGTGCGGGTTAGACGATTGCACTCAGAAACTTTTGCCATGTGCAACTGTTGGAAAGTATGTGCCTCAAAAATTGTACCAATACTCATATAAGCTTAACTGCCACAAAGCGACAGGCCCCAAGGCAGCCAGCAAGACCAGCAAATAATAAAAAAGGACCCTAATGCTGGCATATGGCTATGGAGCACTCTCCAAAAGCGCAAGCAGCGAACACACAGAGAACTTGCCGCAGTATTGGAATACTTTCAGCCCACATATAAGGCAACTATGTGAGAGTTTCGTATATGGTTTTCAATTCTCAGAAACTGTTTTAACTCCAAAAATTAAATATGTCAGTCAGTCCAATTTCTTATTGTTTGCTGACAAGGCTAGAGAAATCCTTTAAATCGTTTTCGTTTGCTGACTCTTCAATTGTAGTAAGCTGTCAATCCGCATATTACAAATTTAACAAGAAGATAAATGTTCGTGTTGTCTGCTTATTAATATATACAATTTTGATATACCCTGAGAAAACGGGATCGATTCCTGTCGCTTACGGGCTTACCAATCGAAATTAGCACTTAAGAGCGATGCAGGCACTTAAATGTTACATGGCAGAAACATATTCGTATTTTCCTGTATTTATTTGCGAAAAAAAAAACTTGCGCACGTTTGGGCTGCCAAAATGGCTTTCAAGAGTTTTTAATGCTTGCCACAATAATTCATATGGAGTTCAAGGCTGGAGGGCGCCCAACATGATTTGTGGCCCGTTCAGGGTGCCTGGGCCTGGGCCTGGGCCTGGGCGTAACAGGGGCTAGTGTGGATTATTGGTATATACTCACAGTATGTGTCTGTCGTCAGACGATCAATGGTATCCTGCTTCAATTTGGAGTTCTTCTTGCCCATTGTGCGGCCGTGTAGATTGCGGTTATGTGTGTGTGTGAGTGGCAAAGAGATACGTATGCCCGTACGGGCGTTGGGTCAGCAACTGGCAGCCTGTTATCGTTAACAGGTAATTGGAGGCGCGTGTCTTATCCCGATTTGCCACTGGTTAGATCTGAAAGAGCAAGTGGGGAGGATATTAAAGATATGTACATATCAGCTGTGTGCCAGGCACATTGTCAAGCCCAGCCATCATCCATCATGCAGTAGCCGCAGCCCATGCACCTGCCAGGGCCAGAGCAATACCCACGCCAAACCCGTGCGCCGTCGGCGCTGCTGATGAATAGCGAAAGCTACTTTGATATTTAAGCATGTCAGAGCCAGTTATACATATATATCTCTATGTGTGTGTGTGTGTGTGTGTGTGCAACCCCAACCAAAAGCATGACGACGACGCCGGCAGCAGCGTCGACTGCGTCAGCATCTAGGGACATCTCACAATGCCGAGAAATGCCAAAAGGAGCTGCCGTCAGTCACTCATTCAGCCAGTCAGTTAGTCAGTTAGTCAGTTGCTGCTCTTTCGGCTAGTTTTCCCTAATTTTTGTGGCTAAACTTGCAGCGTCTTCACATTCTCATCAGAATGGCTTCAATTAACTTAAATCAATAATTCTATCGATCAAAGTTAATAAATCTATATGCTAACATATTGCACATAGTTGCTACTATGACTTACTTTCTGAGCCCTTTGCATTTTACTTATTAGCTTTCAACAATAAGTTAAAGACGAAGAGTTTACAACTCTTCTTCAATGCGAGAATCATAATGTCTCTAACTATATTGTTTATTTATTTTTAAAAATTATAAAGCTCACGAAGAACAACAGGCCTCAATTTTGGCAGCTGGACTACTGGAAAGCTCTATAACTGATCCAAGCCCATCAATCTTTTTTTTTTTTATTTTTAATAGCTTTATTGTTAGGTTCTCTTAAAGAAAAAATAGAGCATCTTGTGGCCGCCTTGCGAAAGCTCGAATTCTTGGTTTCCTGTTTGTTTCCTTTACCTTTGCGGTTGCTGCAACAAGGACAATACCGAGGCTGCTGATGGGATGGATGACGACAAGTTTGCCATAAAGTTACGTAATTAAAATTTTAATAATTACTCGTGCAAGTTTTGTGCGCAAAACTTTTTTAATTCCTTTTGCAAAATTTGTGTGAGGCTTTAATTGACTTTCAATTGGCAATTGAAACTAAGTACCTAACCGAAAGGCAATTAGAGACACACACACACGCGAGTACTAGAGTACAATTCTCTCTCTCTCTCTCTCGCTTTCTCTCTCTGTCTCTCTGGGTCTCCATGTACATACATATGTGGCATTAAAATGCAATAATCATGATTTATACACGCAACAGCCATAAAGATTCAAAGCCCGGCCATAATTAGAATCTGCAGCACAAATCATGAACATTTGAACATTTAACTGAATGACAAATTGGACAAAACTTGCAGCACGCAATCATAAAAGTGTACGCTGCCATTCTCAGTCTTTGTCTCAGAGTCTCTCTCTTTCCCTGTCTCGCTGACTCGCTGTCTCGCTCCCTAGCTCATCTGCCTCTCATCTTTTTCGCTTGAATTCTATCCCTTGTCTCGCTGCCACTTCCATATTCCATTTGGCATTGGACACTCGCCATTTTACGAGTTGCGGACAAATTTGATGGCTGCTGAAGGCAAACCCTGAGTAACAGCAAGAAATGGCGCAGCCGGCAAGTTTTGATGAAATTCTCCAGGCACACTCCGCACCACGAACACCTCAAACTCAACAAGAATTCTCCGCGGATGCGGCCCCAAGTTGAAATTCGCTTGCAGGAGCCGCACGGCACACTCAGCTGCACATAAAAATGTTTAAATTAAATAAATTTAATTTAAAAAAATTTAATAATTCGCATTATATGTGTTGATATGTAATAATATGTGGTGAATTTCTATTGGGGAGCATTTTATGCTTATTTTAGTTTCATATTAAGCTAGAATAACATTTTCAATACAAAATGAGAAATACATACGCAATGTACTTTAAAAAAAAAACCAATCGTATCGTTCTCATGCTCAAATCATATATCTTTCGCAAGTTTAATTTTACCTCAGCCCGCTTTAAATGCATTTAAAATTCTTCATTTATATAAAATTTAAACGTGTTTTGATTTGAAACGCGATTCTTTATTTGCGGAAATCCAATGCGCTAGTAGCAAATGGAGGCTCAACGTATCAGGAAAGTATTTTCATTTTTCCACTGGCGGGAAATGGGTGGAAAATTAATGTTGTAATTTAAAAGAAATGCATAAATACTTGGCCCAACCCAGGCACATAATTATTAAATTAAACTAATTAAGTTTTGCATCACATTATAAATTGGAGATTTATTAAAAAAAATGGAGTAAAATGCGCATCTCTATGATAGTTCTCAAGGATCATTAGAAATGCATGCCTAATGGCCGTGCAGTCCTGTGCTACATATGTACACACAAGTAAATAGATGTATGTGTATGGGATATGTATTTTACGCTAGTCACCCTAGAAATAGCCGCTTGCTCGGGTAGGTAAACAAAAAGTACAAATGATGCGGAACCGAGATGACCGGGACGCGGCATATAGCACGAGCTTGTGTGGAGGCGGACAGAGACGGACATGGACATGGCATCTACAGCGTTGTCTGTGATGCAATTGCTAACGAGCTGGCCAAGCATCATCCTCATCTGGGCATCTAGTCGCATTGCTGGCGGAAGTTGTTTGTGTCCAAGGCTCAGGGCGTCTGTTCCTATGTCTGTGTCTGTGTCTGTGTCTGTGTCTGTCAGTGTAGGAAATTGAAAGGCAAGAAAATTGAACATACTTTAAGGCCTCCGGCAGCAGCACAATTGCAAATTGCAGGTGAACTCTGAACCGCCCTGCCGTCCAGCCAAGTGTAACGTGCTGCAGACATTACGCGATTTCCGGTTGGCTCTAAATGTATTTTAACTTTTGCCGCTTCGTGCGTCAAAATTATATAGAATTGCCGCTGGCGTCGCCATTTAATTGAATAATTGCCAAACGACTTGTAAACAAGTTAGAAGAAGACTGGCCCAGAACTTTGTCCGAGTTCGAGTTCCTATGCCAATTTGTTTTGGCCAGGGCAGCAACTGACGTGGTTGCTCAACAAATCGGCCGACTATGTCTCGACACGCACACTCCCACACACACTCCCACACACACACTTCCTTGCCCACCTGACTCTGTAGGTATCTTATCAAAAGTTCATCCTAACAAATAACTAAAATGCCGGCACAGCAGGATGAAATCATTGCATCTGGTTAAATACTCGGAATTTGTGCAATCCACCGCTTTCGGGATGACAGCGGCAGCATCTAATCGAATCAAATGCAAACTACTAAGGCTGAGGCTGAGGATACAAGTAAGGATACAAAATGCTACGTAACAGTACCCGACTTTGTATGCTATTCAACGACTTGGAGCACAATTGAAAACAGGTCGATAAGAGTCTTAGGTCTAGTCGTTCTAAGACTGTTACCTCAGGGCAGCGAACATCAAACTGTGTCTAGCAAATGTGTTCTCTTCAACTTTGTGAACAATAAGAACATACCCTGCATTCTTAAGTGCTCTATTGGATTTGCTTAAATGAGCATACCCTGCAAGCATGTTGAATAGATTGTAAAATATCTGTAATCAACCTATTTACATACGTTATTAGCTGCATAGTTCAACAGATACGTACGAACGCCAAGAATTAAAATTTGGAATAACCAGTTTCTCCTCTTCCAATGCGGCTTCAGTTTAAATGGAATTTCTAAGCAGACAATTATTCGCGTGTCACATCTTTGCCTTTCTATAAGCTTATTGTCATTGCCAGACACCGACTGCCCTTTTGAGCTGTATTTTTTTCAGATGTCTAAAAAAGACTTGGCTTAAAGAGTTTTGCCATGGGGCTTAGCCAACTGTGGGCATGCGATAGGCAAAGAACGTATACAGCTTCCATTTTGTGCAATTTTTTAGCTGTGATTGCACTTTTCAGTTTCTTAAGAAGTTTTTCAATTTCATTTGCGAAATATTTGCTTCACAACGCAAATTGCAAATTCCGGACTCGTTCGGACTTTGTTAGTCATTCACTGTGTGTTTGTGTGTGTGTGTGTGTGCTCGCTGTGATTGATTGATGTTATGCATGCCGTAAATCTTTTATTATTATGTGGCTGCAAAACTCTATGACCGAGTGTACTACACATTTTATTATTAGTACTGAGAATAAAGTCCAGCTAATGGTCTCTTATATGTGACAGCAAAAACTTTGCTACGTTGTGTTGAAAGTCAAACATTCCAAGTAAATTCGCAGGCACACACACAGACACATACGCATAACCACACGAGTTTATCTAGAGATAAACCCAAAAACCGTTTACCAAAACACAAAGCGCCGCCTCAAACACCAGGCCCCAAATGTTTCAGCACATGTGTTTGGCTATTAACTTGCGCTGTAAATTATGCAAAATCCCAAACAACAGCAACTGGGATGAAAAACAACGGCGACTGCAACAATGGCTAGATACAAGTTTTCCCCATACATGTGTATCCATATAAATATGCTTGTTGGCCAGCGGGGCAACAGCGGAAGCGGAGGCGGAGGCGGAGGCAGAGGCAGAGGCAGCACACACAGAAAACAGGAAGAGACGGCGCGAGTGAGCGCAGCATTGGAGCCGACACACGTGAGCCCCGAAACATTTACATAACCTCTTTCATTCTGATTTGATTATATTCATTCAATTTCGTAAGCGCGACCAGCGCAACAACAACAACAACAAGAACAAAAACAACAAAGACGACGACAAAGCGCAACAGAAGTAAAAGCAAATCGTGAAGAGTAAAAGGTCGAAAGGCAGCATCTCCCATTTTTCCGGACACCTTTGCCAACTAACTAAAAAAAATTGAATATTTTATCAGACAACGTTTTGTGTGTGTGTGTTAACGTGTGTGTGTGCATATGTGTGTGTGAGTGTTACCCTTTATGGCCTGCTTGGCCAGTCCATTAGGTTGTTTCTTTACTCTACTTAAGCAGCATTTGGCCAAATCTATCTCTGTCTCTCTCTCTCTCTCTCTTTCTTCCTCTCTCTCCTTCTCGCACACACACGCTATCGCC